CTATTATTTAAGGGGATTTTACTAAATATTAACATCGCTGATACACAAAATGTTTGGTAAGTGCACTTTGGCGAATTCTTTTATCAGAAACAACAAAGTGCCGATGTACATACGATGTAAATAAGAGATTGATTCATCATACACTGCAGACAACATCACTGATTATAACATAGCTTTTTTAGAGTGCTTACACTCACGCTAGACTGAATTCAGTGATATTCTTTGATAATGTAAATGTTCTTTGCTCGCTGTATAATTTGTTCGTTGTTTGAATAATCGTGGACATGCGGTGTTATAATTAAACTTAAAATGTCTTTTTATTAAACGTGGTCAGGTTAAATACTAATTCAGTCTTATTAAAATATTTTGTCATAATATGGTAGCCTACTTGTCTAAAACGTTATGATGTGCGTAGTTAATAGATTACATTAGGCTACAGTGGTTTGAGCACTTTGACCAGAGACTAGAGCGCAATTAAAGAGCTGTGCTTATGTGATGGACGGGGCGCCGTCTTGAGAAGCGAGAAAGCTTCGGAAAATGGCTCATAAAAAGGACAAGGACGTGAAAGGTTTTTACAAGTCGGAATGTAAAATTACGGTAATATCGCGTGAACATTTCACATGAAATTCTGCGAGTGTGAGGGGGAGAAGTAGGGACGCACGCCGCGAGGCACCCAAGAAAAATACAGTCGCACTAAGGCTATATATTTCTGGTCAGTTTAATAAATAATTAATCACAAAACTATCACAAAAATCTTGGGGATGATCGAGGGGCACAAGGAAAATCTCAGACCCGGCCCTGCGGCGGGGGGTGCTGCAGCACCCCTAGTTCCCACGGCCATGTAACTTTACCTGCGGGTGTCGCTGTTGGACAGTGTTATATTATAAAAACGAGTGACTTTTAGACTTTTAATGTCATATTTAGTCATATTTGCGTTGTTTTATTTTTGTAATATCGATTATTTTCTCATCCACTTTTGAGGCACTGTCACTGTCACTGACACTGTCTCCCTTGCCTCCTCGGAGGAAACGCCCCTGAAAGATTAAATAAGAATATTAATTTATAGAATTACCATGTTAAACTATGTAGCAATAAGATCGCATACATAATAATAATAATAGTAATTTCAAACTTTGTAGCAATATGATGGCATAAAAATAATAATTTTAATCATTTTAATTTTAACTTTACATTCTACATTATTTTAATTTTATATAAATTTTAAATTATAAATTATTTTAATTTAAACATTGTAGCAATATAATGGCATAAAATAATAATAATTATATTATTATTATTTAGTAAATACTGTGTCGTATTAGCAGATATAGCTTAAAATATAGAAAACAATAATACTTTACTTATAAACACTTGAAACATTATTTTTATTATTCTAATTATTCTGCAAATAAAAACAGAGTTAAAACAACTTAAAATCTGTAAAATCTGCATATAGGCTCTTTGACACTTTAAATAATCATAAAATATTGGTTGTTAAAGGCTCATAAAAAGGACAAGGACGTGATATATGATGCATCATATGACAAGGGTCATATGATGCGATTTCAATTTTTCTTTTCTCTTTGGAGTGTTACAAGCTCTTGGTGCATAAAGAAGATCTGTAAAGTTGCAAAAACGATGGAGCTGATCCGTGCTGGTCGCTGAGGAAATACATCAACTTCGCGCTGTGGATCGCCGGATCGGCTTACACCGTGGACAAAGCGGAGTCCAGCGCGGGGTTGACACATGTGGTTGCCGCGAGCCCGCCAGACGTGCCGTTCTCAAGCCAAATTCATATCATAACAAAAATAAACACCGGTATTCGATATGAACCGGTATACCGCCCAGCACTAGGTTTTATTGGTTTTGTCTCGTCGTGCCGGGAGACACAGCATCATAGTATGTTAAGGGGAATAACATTTCCATCACACGCTTGACGTATTCAGCCAATCACATATATTGGACTCTTTTTTTTTTTTTTTTTCTTTTACTGGAGAAAGCATTATGATGGATTACATATTTTAGCCAGAAGCAAAGATTTCAAGTTAAAATGCTTTAATGATGGATCTGTTTATTACAAACACGCAGCTTTTTACTTCTCAGGACGTTAACTGATGGACTGGAGTGGTGTGGATTACTTGTGGATTAGTGTGATGTTTTTATCAGCTGTTTGGACTCTCATTCTGACGGCACCCATTCATTGCAAAGGATCCATTGGTGAGCAAGTGATGTAATGCTACATTTCTCCAATCTGCTTCGATGAAGAAGAAAAAACCAATCTACATCTTGAGCCAGAGAGTGAGTAAATTTTCAGCAAATTCTCATTTTAGGATGAACTATTCCTTTAATACTTCAAAGCTCTGGATTTGCAATATGATCCTGACAACCTGTTAAAAATCTAAAAGGTGTCAACTACCTCACAAAATTTACTAAGGTAATGATAGTATCCACACAAAAAAAAAAAGAAAAGAAAGGAAAAAAGCATAAAAAATCAAATACCACGTGGGAAAAAACTGAAATATTATGTTCATACATCTACAAATCTGCAAACCTAAAATATTTACTTCATTGGTTAAAGAAATTTCCAGAATCGTTTTGTTGTTTTGTAGAATATCCTTGATTTATTGGTTTAGGCTAAGGGCTTTAATAGTCCAAACTGTGTTCTGTATCGCACACTTTAAACCGTGAGCCACTTGTAACAAAGTTTGGGGAGGATTAAAATGAATGCGAATCATTTGACGTTATGAGACGTGCAGACACACAAACATTCTAGAGTTTTCCTCTGTCCCATCCCATCCCCGTAGGAGGCTACAGTAGCTCTCAGGATTGCGTAACGAGCATGTCGTACCACAAAATAAATTCCAATTCCCATTTATTTACGAGGGAGACTGACAGAAAACTAAGGCTGTCACAAAAGTTAGTGAGCTGCCTACAGACAACTGGCCAGCATAGGCGCTTAGAACCAAAAAGGTTTCATTTGAACTTTCAAACATACATAATACAAAGAAAAGTTTGATTCGAACCTTCAAAGATAAACGAGCGCGTAAAAATATTCGGGTTGAATGACCTGCACATGCACAACGTTAACCAAAAATGTTCGCTTTGAACATACATGACATAATAAACACAAATTCCAGAAAATGTTTGATTCCAAACGTTCGACTCGATGCGTCATTCAACAGTTTTCATTGGAACGCACAACGTTAAATTCAAACAGATATAATGATGCTCAGAAATGTTCAATTCAAACGTTCAAGAGCTCATATGACGCTCAAAATACTGCTTCTGTAGGCACCTCACTGTGCTTTTAAACGGAACCTTGCTCTGTCACGGTTATAAAACTTGTACTCACTTTTCTGTAGGCAAGCTGCAGGTAGTTATAAGGACTTCTTCTATTGAAATCTTGAATGACATCCTCACTAACTTTATGCATGGATTGGGCTCCAATTTTTCCCTCGGTGCATTGATTTATACAATGCGCCCTATAGAGAATCACTTCAAAAATCTTATCAGTCAGAAAGCTGTCAAAGCGATGCTGGTCACTGCATTTCAGCCTGCATCTGATTCTGGTCTGGCGCACTTCAGAGAAACTCTTCAGCGCGCTCTCCATGTACCGCACTACATTGCCATAGTCTCCTTTATAAAAAGCCTCCACTCCGTTATCGTAAAGCAGATCGAACGGTTCCAGGGTGGTCGATGACAGTAGAAGTGACTGGAGGAAACATGTCAATAAGCCGTAGATTTTGGAGTTAACATCCATCTTCTGAAGCTGCTGCGTAATGGTGCGCAAAATAATGCGCTCTGGGAGTGAAGAATAAACACAGTCCCGGTGAGTCTAGTGTGGGATCTTACAGAAGAAACAGGCCAATGAAAGTGACGGCTTAACTACCGTTCTAAGCTTAAACGCAGTTTCGTTGTCACTCATGATGAATGACCCATTACTGGTGACATTTCAGCAATGACCCCCGTCCCTCCCATCCATTCTGTGCTGACTCCTCCCCTACAGCCCACACAAGAAGGAAATAACAATGTTTACCATGATGACGACCGCAGCTGTCTGACTTCTTATTTATTGAACAGCGACATATTGATTTAGAACATAAAAAGTACTTTTAAAATACAAACTTAAAGTCTTGTCTCTATTACGAACACAGAACTTTCTAGTGAGATCCTCACAACGCCTTCGAAAGCGAAGACCTCTTGTCGCCGATTCAACGTCTCCCTCTAGAGGATAGAAATCATACTGCAGCTCTCCTGAAAATCCACAATGTTCAATATACGTTTATATCAACCATTACAACATCAATCCGATATGCTATCGTTAGATTAAAAACATTTTTAAACGAGTAGGCTAGGCCTATATGCAAGGGATAATTCAGGTGCTAAAGCTTCCGCTAAGAAAAATAGTCCAATGCAACACAGAAAATAAATAATCAAAATCATTAAACACAAAAAATTATTTTGTTCTAAATGTATTGTGTAAGCGACGACAATATAGAATTTCTGCCTGATTAGCCGCCAAATTAAACTCACCTCTAACGTTACTTTCCACAAGCCCCGTCACGTTGGCGTAAGCATACTGAATATCGAAATATAGAGATACTGAATCGCAAAAAGACTATTTAAATATGAAGCCGGTGTTTTCAGCGTCTGCCATCTCACTAAATGAGGACATATTACATGAACAACAACCCCAAAACTGCTCCCTGAGAGTCACTTGATGAGCATTTGACCGTTTCATTTGAGAAAAAAAACTACGGTCATGTCCCAAACACAACTCTTCACGGCAACCCGTCAAAATAAAAGTTTAACTTGAAGAAATTGTGACAGACATATATTACTGTTGTACAGTAGAATGTACTTACTACTACTACTCCTAATAATAATAATAAACATTTAATTAAAAACTTTATTTTTAAGGAATAAATACACAAATTTTCCTCCATGTTTTATTTTAGCAGTAGCCTAAACCTAATACTGTGTTTGCCAAAGAAATTTTCATTTGATTAAAAAAATTAATTAATTAAATTAATGTTTTATGTCATCATTTGATTGCCAGAAAAATGTAAGTACATAACACAGAATTGGTGGGGGGGGGGGCAGACTACATATTTCATAGGGTCCTATTGTTTTTTATTTATTTTTTTAAGTTTTTTTTTTTGTTTTGATTATTAAAATTTAATTAAAGCAGAATTTGGGAAAATGTAAAACATATTCAGGGACCCCCCCTCCCCCTAAAAATAAAATTTAAAAAATAACATGAATTTCATAGGGCCCTAGTGGACTATCCTTACATTTCAACAATATGGCTATATTTTTGTTACTAATTCAAGCTCTCTCAACTTGTTATATTTTACCGTTTGTCAGTTGATATAAGATCACAGAGCCCCCTCCCTTGATACTCTTGAGCTTGAAGACATCTAACAGTTTTATCCTCAACATTTAATACCACGAATATTAAAATGACATGATTATAAGTCATAGTAAATATTTGAGTCGCAAGATGGCGCCAATAACCCATTCAAACCAGCGTTTGATGTGAAACCAACAAGAAAGCATCACGCAGTCACAAGAGAGACATACTAGGTTACTGATTTTGATTTTTAATACAAAAAAAGTTAAATACTGAAATTATTTAATTATAAAACAAACAACCAAGCATGAAATGCTGAAGCTGTCTTACAAGCTTAGAATCTTCTTCGTCTTTAAAAAATACCTTAAAATATTATAAACATCCCCACAATTACTACAATAACACTATTACTGGGATATAACGCCCCCTTCCTCTGTGGTCAACGCAGAACTGTTAGTTAAGCAATCCCAGCCTTCTCCTTTTCTAGCAGCTAAATTGATTCACAGGTCTAAGTTCAATGTGGCACCCGTGCCACACATCTAAACATACATCAGAAGCTATTAAATCATACCAACACGTTGATGTGAGTTAGTAAATGTAAGAATAATAGATGCGAATACACAGCAGTTAACAATAGTTCAGATGAAGTTTAGGTATTCAGATGGTCTCAGGATCATTAAACATAGTCTTGTCCAGGATTCACGGAGACCGGATGCTTGCTGAGAATTCTGTTGGATTGTAGATGCGTCACGCTGCAGGCGCATAAGAGAAGGCCTCCGAATAAACATAGCACAGATGCAACAAATGCACCAATCAGAGATCTGCCGACCACATACCTACAAAGACCCAGCACAGGTAGTCAGTCTTGAACATCAACATTATAGATTCCTAAAGGCATGATGCTCCAATGAGAAATAATATGAAACAGAACAACACCTACCTCTCCGTCGCTGTGTCATTCTGAAAGAAATAATCTACAATTCCATATATAAACCAGCTGGTTATGCCCAATGCAAACAGACCTGGTGATAGAAAGAAGAACGCAAATATTAATAAGGCTGAATTCTAATTGTAGAGGAGATCAAAGACAATTGTAACACGTTTTTATGTTATCTCACAGGAATATAAACGTACACTAGTTACTGTTAAAACCACAGTAAAACATAATATTGTGAAATATTATTACAATTTAAAATAACAGTTTTCTATTTGAATATATTTTTTAATATAATTTATTTCTGTGATGAAAAAGGTAACTTTTCAGCATCATTACTCCAGTCTTCAGTGTCACATGATCCTTCAGAAATCATTCTAATATGCTGATTTGCTGCTCAAGAAACTATTAATAACTACTACTTCTATTATTATCAATGTTGAAAACAGTTAATGTTTTTTATAGAAACTGTATTACATTTTTTAGGAATAGAATGTTCAAAATGATTTATTTGAAATAGAAATCTTTTGTAACATTATAAAATGTCTTTACTGTCACTTTTGGCAATTTAATGCATCCTTGCTGAATAAAAGTATTAATTTCTAATAAAAAGTTTACATGTAAAATGTCCAGTATTTTTTATTCACCTTTGATAGAAATATTTTAATAGAAAGTTCAAAATAATTTATTTAAATACATTTTTGTAACATTATAAATGTCTTTATCAATGTCTTTTATCCAGCATCCTTGAAAAGAAAAAAGAAAAGAAAAAATAAACTTTTGAACTGTAGTGTATGTGTATTTTTATTCTCCTTTGATAAATAGAACGTTTAAAATAATTAATTTGAAAAGAAAATCTTTTGTAACATTATAAATGTCTTTGCTGTCAATAAAAGTATTAATTTAACAAAAAAAAACTTATAAAATAAATACTGTTCCTTTAAACTTTCTAATCATCAACGCATGTAAATGGTTTCCAAAGAAATATTATATTAGTTTAACTTTAAGTAAAAACCTAGAAATACAACAAATACTGTATAAAATAACTTATATACAAATTCGGTTTCACTCCAGTTTCTGGCTCCAGTTTATTTGTGGTTTTTTAAATTTGTGTTGAGCTCACCACCACACACAGAAAGGATTCCCCCTAAGAAGGCAGCTCTATCCTTCAACTTCTCGTTCTCTTCTATACATCTTGTGCACTTGAGACCAGAAATGGCCACCAGCGCTGCAAGGCTTGAAAAGACGATGCTGACGATCATTATTGCTCGGCCCACCTGGATTTCAACTGCAACAACACACAGCAGCGATTAGAACAGAAGTCAGACGACAGATGGATCCATAAACCACTGCACAGATACTCACAGGTTTGATGAAGGAGAGAATTGTAACTTGTGCAGTGCACAGTAGACGAACTGTCTACTGAGCACTCCATCCACAGTCCTTTGTATTTGTCCAGAATCACGGTCTTGTCGTTGTCATGTCCAAGTATTTTCCATTCATTTGTAAATGTGCCTATAATAAGGCCACATAATCCAGTAATGGACAGAATATAACCGATGAGCTGAAGAGCCATTGATGGATTAGAAGACGAATGCACTCAAAGAGTTTTCAGTCGGTAATACTGTGTGTCCACTGTACTGTAATGCAAGCTGAGAAATCTGGGCTGCTATTTATTATCGTGAGAGTAGGTGTGAATCAACTGTCATGTCATTCGTGGACAGGACATTAGGTCAGATTTCCCTGAAAGCAGTCTGGAAATATCTAGCTTGAACTCCTCTGGTTCGAGTGTGTAGCGCTCAAAGTTTTGGGTTGGAAAACAGAAGGTTGTTGGTTCCGCAAGCCCGCCGGACGCTCCTTCGTCGAATCCGCTGGTCGCGCCGTTCTCAAGCCCACCCGCCGCCACTCACTCTAGACCTCCGGCCTCCGCTCACTCTAGCCTGCCATGTTAAACTACTTAGTTTGGTCTTCCAAAAGAAGACATGACTAGAAAGGCGGGGCATAGAGGAGAAACAATAATGTACAGTATGTGGAAAATAATGTGTTTTTTGAACCTTAAACCGCATAAACACATTTCATTACACCAAATACACAAAATAATGTTCTTTTTAGCAACATCATATGACCCCTTTAAAATAAGTCAATGCGGATAAAAGCATGCTATAAATAAACTGTTGCATTTGTATTCTGATTTACTAGCATTAGGGTGGAAAGAGATGAGTAGCGTTTCATGTGAAATGATGTGATAACATTCAAACTACATAAATCAGCGCATTCCTTCTGATGATAAATGCTTCATGATCATGATTAATCTTATGGTTTGTTTCACACCTATTTACTCACAGACAAATCTAAAAGATATATTTATCGTTTCCATTTATAATCATGATTCCTCCTTTTTGCGGGTTGTGATTGTAACAGGAAACAAATGGGTGGGTGGGCAGATGGATACTAGTAAATCAGGAAGGCAAGTTCATGTCATCCACTAAGACTAATAGTGAATAATACTGCTACACAATTAATTTATTACTGTTTATTTGAATTCTAAAGCTGTTTCATTATTAATTTATTCAGGATTTCTTACACCAATCCTTTGAATGGTAGTGTTTTCTGATTTCTGAAGGATCATGAACCTGAAGACTGCGAAAAACTCTGCTTTACCATCACAGGAATAAATTACATTTTAAAAGATCTTAAAATAGAAAACAGTTATTTTGAATTGTAAAGATGTTTCATTATTACTGATTTTACGTTTTTTTTTATTTTTTTATTATCAAATAAATGCAGCTTTGATGAGCATAAAGACTTCTTTCAAAAACATTTACAAATATTAATTATAACAAACTTTTGACCACCAGTGTATGTGAGTATTTCTATCTTTAACGGCAAGGATTTTTATGTTACTGTTTTTTTTTTTTTTCAATTCAGATTTCAACTTTATGTGAAGGTCAGAATAAAATAACCTGGGAAACATTTTGCAATGCCTTCATCTATTTTTTTATTTATTGTTAAACATCCCTTTAACTTTTTAAATGCTTTATGTCATTTATTTTAGTAAAACACCTTAAAAACAAACTTTTTCAATATATATTGTGAAAACGAAGAACTGTTTTTTTGTTCAGAGACTCACGCAGAACTTGTTTGTGTGACACTTTGAAGTAAACACTAGGTTTAAAGAAACAGAAAGAAACCATGCCAGAAACACCAGTGTGATCTACTGTATGTTTTGGCTCTCACACAAAAATGTATTCCAGTACTCAAGATGATGAATGTACAAACACATACTCTTTAGTTTTATCGCGCGAGTCATGTATTCCTGCAATTCCCTGTGATTTCATTCTGTTACATCTCCTCAAAAAGCCACATGATTTGAAGTCCCATTTTTTTGTCCCAGGCAGAAAAGGACAAATTTGATAAGGTTTTTTTTTTATATAGTGCATTAATAGTGCATAATGGCCTAATTTAGTGCCATCTTGTGGTCCTTCCTTATACTGTCTGATTGGAAAGCACATTATCAGCGCTGCATAGCAAACTGTTCACTCGAAAATCATTCAAGTTGTTCCAAATCGGAGTTTCTTTCTTCTGTTGTGCACATTCTTTTTTTAATATCTTATTTTGTGCTCAACAGAAGAAAGAAACTCATACTGGTTTGGAACAACATGAGGGTGAGTAAATCATTTTTAGCGGAACTATCCCTTAAAGTAAGCATAATAAAAAAAAATCTGCGTCTTTATTTAAGAGTGGTTGAATAGAGAAGAAAAAGACTCTTTGACTCATATTCTACAACTAAAAGCCCTGTTCATACCTAGAACGATAACTATATTAGTGTCCACACCAACGGATATTCTATTTAGGCTATTATAAGTTCAAATGCTCAAGCTCTTAAGAATCCACTAATATCCAGTCCAAAAATATAAGTAACAAAAATGTTAATATATCTATAGAATAATATATTTATTTTATCAGTTAATAAAATAAATTAAATTATAATTATAAAATAAAAATATATACTTAATATATTACATTAAACACCATTTATATATTGAGTTTTCTGACATTTTTAAATATTTAATTTTTCATCAGTTTTATCATTAAACCTTCCTATCATGCAGAGTTAATTCAGGATAATCAGGCCATTTTCCCCAGTCATCTCAATGGCAAAATGTGTCCCAAATTACTTGAATTCACCCTATATAATGTTAGGGTGTAATGTCATCTTTACTGACTTACTTTTGAAACTTACTAAAAATATTAGCTATAAAGTGTAACTGGACAAACAGTCAAACGTCAGTTACTCGTTCATGTCAAAACTCATAGTGTGTGCCCTACAGGACTGCGGCTGCCGCTCTCAAACCTGTCCGATGTCATTCCTGGAAACACAGCCCGAGGCCCAACGACACATAACTATGGGAATATATGTGGCTTTCTCTTTCTCTCTCTCTCTCTTTTTAAACCACACTAGTCAAGTGTGGACTGAATATGAGGGATTTTCTGAGGGAGCATTACTTGTAGCCTAGGCTACTACAGGTTACTTGTAGGCCCTATAAACACTGCAGAGCAAGCAAATAAATAATAATTAAAAAAAAAACTACAAATGACTCACTTATAATTCCCTCTGCATATTAAGATGGGGAAAAGCCTGTCGGGGGAAAAAATGCTCACTTAGCCTAAGCTTTAAGTTCGAGTCGAGTTTCAAGACTGGAGGTTCCATCTCTGCAAAAACTAAATAACCAACAGGGTGGACTTATTTTCAAGTAGTCTGATCGGTATTTTATTCAACAGAATACGTTTTTACACGCATATCGAACCTGTTTGAGATTAATTAGCACAGTGAGTCGACACACCCTCATGTGACCACCTGTACCGGTTTTTCCTGAAGATGTGCCGCAGGCTCATCGGCCCGAACAGAGTAAATGTAGAGAATTAAAGCAGCGCTTTATTCCACATTCACTCCTGCGCGCCGACACACCTAAAAGCTTCCACTTTACACTCACGGAGGAGAAAGTGTCGAGGCGAGCGGTTTAAAACTGTTTGGAGGTTGTCAGCTCTGAGCGTTGGGTGTGTAACCATCCATGTTTCGACACGAGACGAGCGCTCGGACCGCTGCTGCGGCGTTTCTCTCAGGTAAGCCGCTGTCATTAGTGAGGAGCAGTTTGCGCAACTGACAGCCAGGTTAAAGTGGCGCGTGGTTGGATGTGGTGTTAAATACGATAAAAATAAACACTTACAGTTGATTACACAGAGCCTAGGTGTTCATGTATGGTGGGCTCCTTCGTTTTTTTTTTTTTTTTTGCACGCATTTACACTTCTCAGATCTTTGGTAGCCTAGTTGTGTCGCGTCTCACGACGCGTTGCGTTGCGTTGCGTTTTTAAGATGGCGCGTCAAGTGCTGTTGTCTGTTCTTAACTTATTTATTTATTTTTATTTGTGTGTGCCCTCAAAATAAAATGAGAATCCTAGAACCACAAGGGAGTTAAAAATATTTTAAAAATGCAGTTTACAAGGTGATTTTTTTTAAAGTGCCGCAGTTCGTTTTACTGCTACATCAGATTTAAAAATGGAAAAATAGAAACTTGGAAAAAAAAAGAAAAAAAAAAATACAACAGAAACGGAAAGGGAGTAAATAGACTCAGAAAGCCGTCCGTAATAGCTACTTAAAATGATTTTAAATACTATTTTTTTTTATATAGTAGCTAATACTACTTAGCCTATAGCTTTATTTTTTCATACTAAAAATTAATAGGTTTAGCATGTTCTGATGCATTTAATATTTTGAAAGTAGGCCCACTTGAATATAGGCCTAGGCTAATTTTAGTTATAGCATGTGCTATATGTAGAAGGTGTTTATCAGAAAATCTAACATTTTATTAATTGGCTTTGTTGCATTTCACTGCATTTGTTGAATTTTCTCTGTGATAAATTGATTTTAAAAGTACAAATGTTCCATATAGTAGCAGAAGTTACAGTAAGTGAAAATTTGCAAATACTACTGGCCCATTTTGGGGTGAACTAAATATGCAAGACTAGTCTTACGTCACTGTTTATAACACAGGCTGTTCATCCTTTGCTGGGCTGCTTAAAAAAATGGGGACATAAATTAAGAGTATACCCACTTCTCCAGGCACCACTACACCACTGCATATAACCCCCAAGTTTATATTATGTAATAAACGCAGCATGTATGATGATTATAGCCTACACAAACTGTGACATTTTTAAATACGATCGAAACAAGTGTTTTGATAAAATAGGCTACATGTTGAAATATAAAGCTGAAAAAAGTTTTAGCTGAATTATTGCGCGTCACACTGCAAGATACTGCTTGAAATGTAATATCAAGCACTGATGCTCAAAGATCATTTCCCGGTAAAGCTATTAGGTTATGTGGATGAAATTTCAGAAATATACTCCTGTTTTGTTTCAGATGTTGCATAAAACCTGTTTACCTGCCGTTTCTGACCTGCAGTGCACATTGCTAGGAATCGTGGCTGAGATGAACAGCAGGATTTCAGTCATTGTTTCTAGTAGTGGGCGCTGCAGATATTCAGCTTCTTACCATGGAGTGCCTCGAGTCATATTCGCATAAGAAGAAAAAGGTCGAACACAGTAAATGTATGGCACGCATATCTACAAGAAATACTTATGGCTGCCGCTGGATGGCAGTAGAGCGCAAGGAAAGTGAGGCAGAAGCACAGGAGAGGCTTTCTGTCACCTGTGAGGATCTGCAGCTATTCAACGCGCAAGTAACCGTGACAGTCTTTGGCATGTAGTAGGTGAACCTGCCCAGGAGAGTTTGGCATTTAGACTTCCTCATCCATTCGTAATTCAGACCTTTATGCACAAGATAACCACCAGAATTAGCATTTCATCATGTATATCCACTCATTTTAAAGCTTCCATTTAATTGCTGTTGTCTTGGGTTGGGATGTTTTATGTATTGCAAAAAAAAACAAAAACTGTTTTTACATTGTATTTAAGAGATTTGCTTAAACAAAAAACAAACACTAACACACAAAAAAAACAAACAGCAAGCAACATAAACAAAAACAAAGAGCAATGCAAAAAATAAAATAAAGCAAAGAAATGCAGTGGAAAACAAAAAAACGAACAAAAAAGCAAAGCAAAACAAAACATTTCTGAAGGTTACGCACTTATTTTTTCTGATTATTTGATGAAAAAAAAATATATAAATAAATAAATTAGCATTTGGTCCCAAACTAGTGAACTCCAACCGAATGATAGATTAATGAATGGTTATGAGTTTTTGTATACTTTTAGTTTAGAGATTTTTAAAATTTGTAATCAGTTTATTTTATGTTCTCTGTAAGAAATAAACCAAGAAAAATTTACAAAAATCAGAGAAATTTGGTTTTTATATTTTGATTTAGACCAGTTCGAAACGTAAAAAAAAAAGACAAAAAAGCAAAAGAAAAAAAAATCAAAGAAAAGCAAGGAATAAAAAATTAGTAAATCAAAAAAAAAAAAAAAAAAAACTTTTCTGAATGTTATCCACTTATTTTCATGGAACTTTTGCTGAGAAAAAAAAAAACCACTGACACAAACAAATGTAACTTTTAAAAAAAATTTTTTTTTTTAATATAGATTTTCAGGTCCTGTTTTTTTTCAGTACTCTATTCATAGAAAGTGCCAGATAAACGCCAGTCACTTGTTTGCTGCCTTGATCTATTTGCTGGTCAGTTTTTATGTCCCTGCTTAAAGTAAATTTGCCACCAAATGCAAAGCACTGCAAATCCGAACACTGATATATTAGCATGAATTGCATATGATGATGCAAGCAAGAAAACGGTTTACATCTGTGCCAATAGCAATGCTACTAACATGCCTTAACTTGTATTTTCGATTTTTATTGAATTATAAATAAAACGTAAAAATAAAAAAAATGAGGAGTAGAGCTGTTTGTGGCCATCTTTTTTTGTTTGTTTTGTTTCCAGATGACAAAATTCATTTAGACCCCATAGAGTTCACATTCAGCCAGCATGTACTTGAACACTGGAGCATATGAATAGGACCCTGAAGTACCTACGAAGTAGATGAGAGAATCGCTACAGACACTGCAGGCGAAGGGGGAAATATCACAAAAACAAAGGCACCCGAAGACTGAGCGTCTCGAACCCTAGCTGTACGTGAGCCCTCAGTGAGTAAAGAGTCTCTCAATGATATGAAGGCAAAATGAAGAAGCACTGACAATCTCACCTTGATATTTGATTGATACGAAGACTGAACCTGCTTCTTAAGACGTTGAGACGATGAGTGGAATTTTGCATCTCCATAAATTGGATCACTCCCAGTTTATGCTAACAGTCTCTTCGGGTCGACTGAGGAAAGCGTAAAACAATCAGCGTTTTAAAATATGAATCAAAAAATAAAATATATCCTCTGAAAATAAATCAATAAATACATGGCACAAACTTGTGCTGGATATAAATTCAAGCTTGTTTTCCATTAAATAAAAACAAAAAACTGCTGGAAAACTGCTGTATCCTGAACTCAACATGGAATCAAGACGGATCTTCATTTATAGATGCCAAGAGAAAAGGGATGTTCGTAAGAGCTGTGCAGTAGATCCCTTCCTGTCCAGTCATCCACAATAACACAACAACATGAGAAGCAAACAGGAAGCACCCGTCGCCCAGTAGTTCATAGCTCCAGGGTAAAAGACTCTTTCACAACACGAAGAGACGACATTGGCTCATCTGATGCGATGAACTGAGAAACTCGAAGAGGGGAAAATAAAATAAAGTGTCAGTAGCTTCTGCCGAAAGCCTCAAAGTATTTTTGAATCGCTTTCTCCTCTACTGATTCACAAAATAAAGGGCCGAACGGACTCATGATTGGACAGCAGTGGAGACTTACGGTCACGGCCTGTAGGGGGCACCTAAAAGAGGAGGAGATAAAGACGGCCATAGTTAAAAAGTCATTCGAATTTGAACAATCATGCTTCATTAGTGCAATGTGAACCTTTGTACGCCTCTGGTCTTGACGGAGGGCGAGGGGAGTACGGGCTGTCTGCGTACGCGTAGCTCGGGTTTATGTTCTCATAGTGCTGTGTAGGAGGAGGCGGCCTGAAGTAAAGAACGGAGAGAAACATGAGACTCCGGTAGGACTTCTGACAGTGTGAGTAGTGTGTTAAGGAGTTGGAGATGTGGTACCTCGCAGGTTTGTGGTTGCGTGCTCTCTGGTACTCGTCCTCTCTGATGCGCGGCTCTTCTCGCGTTCGTGGTCGGACTACTTCTTCTTGCACTGGCTAATATGACAGAACAGAAGAGAGCATGTCAGTGAGAGCGTGCTGGCAGGGGCAACATCACCAGGACCACACGGAATAATGTGGGTTTCAGCATTGTCCGTTTAACCCACTTGATCATGCCTCACATCTGATACATGCATTTCAAAGGCCTCTACATTAACATTACATTAATAGTTCTATTAAAATCTCACTGACACTGTAGCAATGTTCTTACTACCATAATTTTATTATGAATTATATACATATATACACACTGTGTATATGCATATGTATGTGTATATATATATATATATATATATATATATATAAATAATATACATACGTGTGTGTGCAAGTATGCAGGTATGTATATTTCTGCATGTATTTAATACCATAAAATTAAAATACATTTAAATAAATGTTATAAATATTAAATATCTATACACGCCTATTTAATGTGTATATATAAATAACGTATTTATAAAATTTTTTTGTACAATTTTATTAAAAATTAAAAATTAAAAAATCCACACAAATGTAACTTTTTTTCAAGAGTTATTATTATTTAATATAGTTAAATACATATAAACTAACCAATAATAAATATTATACACACACACACACACACAGGGGTGCATGCGTGACGGAAATAAAAATGCGATGTGTAAATATGTTCAGACTGCTCATTTGCTCACAGACATGGTTGACAGCTGTAAATGCACAATAACTGTTTTAGATCGACTAACTAATACTGTATACGATTTCCATTCAAACTGAAGGCATAAATCTAGGTGATGCGCTGCCGGTTTGAGTGAAACGCAAAACTGTGACATTTCATCAACATATGCTCTTCACTCGGCAGCGCTAAAACCGGCACTGCATTTATTTACTTGCCGGCAACATGCTAAAATAAAAGCTTGCTGATTCTAGGTTTGAAAACGTTAAAAATCATATAAAAATGAAAAATAAAAATGAAAAAAAAAAAAAAAAA